CTGCCGAGCCCTTATTCGTGTGCTGCTGGGGCCCGCCTTTGGGGGGGTACTGCCCCACGTTACTGCGGTCCTGATGGCCAGCGGCACCGTGGAGCAAGCTGTCCTCCTCCAACAGGGAGGCCTCGGTTTCTGCCTCCTGTGGAGGAGTCTGGCTGGTTGGGGCTGGGGTGGGTTTGATGGTGGAGGTGGGGGTAGTTGGGGCTGGGGTGGAACTGGTGACAGCCGGAGCTGGGGCCCTCGTGGTGGACATAGGAGGGGGCAGCAGCACCAGGGGCGGGATTCGCGGGGCGAAGTAGGTCTTGTTGCGGAGGTCAGAGTTACAACGTGACCCCTGGCAGCAGGAGCCGCTGAGCGAGAACCCCGGGCCTGTCACCCCATCGCGGGTGCAGAACTCGTCGCGGACACAGCCCCGGACGGGCAAGGAGACGGTCACATTAGCTGTGGGGAGGAGACAGGACAGGTCAAAGGTTGGAAGGAGGGAGGTTAGCACAGGACGAGAGGAGGGCGGAGACCACGGAAGGGCTCAGCACCATTAGCCCACAAATCCCAACGCAGGTCCCACTCTGAGAAACTCGTGCACACTTTGGCACATAGTGGGCCACGTTTCCCAGAGTGCTTTGAGAGGAAGAAAGGCCTGAGCTGGCATATGGCACATCTCACCAGGCCAAAGGCCAGAACGGCCTTCTTCTACCTCTCCCCTGCCCTCCCCACCACCCTTCACTTCTCTCCCACCAAAATTTAGCCTTAGAGGCAGAACTACAGCTTCCACAGTGGCCCTGGTGGAGGGGGAGGTTTGAAGAACTCCATCTGCTCTGGTTTCCTGAGGGAGGGCCCGGAGGCTGAGTGCCGGCCATCTCTCCTGATAAAAGTATCAGGAACACATTGGAGACCCCCTGACCCCTTGAGGTTTTTGTTTGTTTGTATTTGCTATAGGGCACGTGTGCTCCCAGGAGGCAGAGACAGAGAATGTTAGAAAGCACCCCCGGGAAGGAGGGCCACGCCGGGATCCCCTCTCTTCCATTTTCCCCTCTGGATTTTGGGCATGCATACAGGTCCTCCGGTGTGTTTTCAAGCCCCCCAGGTCTGGGACTGGAACTGCAAGCCAGCCATGTGGGATCCAGCCTTTGTCACCATGCCACTTAGACCCCTTGAGTTTTAAAGGTTAATAACTAAGTTCCCTGCAGCACCTGGGTGGAAGCTTAGAGACTCAGATGCATTCCCCACAGCCCGTCCTCCTGTTCGTGCCTGTCACTTCCCACAGCGGGTCCACCCAGGTCCTCCCTTTCTGGGGGCCGTATGCCCTCTACAGAAATGGGTTTTGCTCACACAACTGGAGGACCTCAGTCGTGCTTTCCCCATACTCTAAGAAGCATAGAACCACATTTCCCATGAAGTTCTAGGACAAGAGCAGCACTTAGGCCTACAGTTCCCAGAATGCGACGGAGGTGGGGAGCTCTTTGGGTAAAGGACTCCCAGTTGCCCAGGATGCTTCAGAAAGGCCATGACTCCTATAAGGACTGTGCTCCTGGGCTCGCTCACCTGCCGTCAAGGTGACGTTGCCATCGAAGCAGCCCTTGAAGACGCGGTCGCTGGCGTTGTAGCAGCTCACAACCGGCGGCGCCGTACCTTGGCATGCCTCGCGGCTCAGCCCCACGCAGCTGTAGCACTCGGCGCCATTGGGCTCGTACGCACTCTCATTGCCTGCGAGGGGAGCGAGGAGAAAGGAAGGGGGTCGCGTGGGCCCGGGAACAGCCGGTCAGCCTCCGGCCCACCTCCGGGGGCGTGGCCCCGCTGCATCAACGGCCCCGACCACCAGCGCGCTGCATCAACGGCCCCGCCCACTGGCGAATAGCCCCGCCTTCGGCGTGCAACCGCAGGCGTCTACAGCAGTGAAGCTCCGCCTGCGTCTCTTAGCCCCTCTGCAGTGCGTGGCCGCGGCTCCAGCGCATGCCGAGCACCCACCCGACTACCGCAGATCCTCCTCTGGCTCCTGGTCGCCCCTAGATCTTAGCCCGGGTGCAGCTTCCCCCGAGGGCCCCAGCCACGCCCCCACGGACCTGCAGGATTGAGCGCTCGCGAAGTGAGGTTGAGTTTGGCGTTGCAGCGATCCTGGGCGCACTGCTGCAGCTGGATGAAGGCCAGAATTCCGTGAAGGTCCAGACCGCGGTCATTCTTGCCCGGGAGTCCCGAACCGCAGCCCCGTACTGCCACCGAGAACTGCCCGTGGACTGCAGGGGGAGAGGGGGCGGGGTCCTATGAGGGCGGGGCCTCGCATAGAGCAATAACAGAAGATGGACCGGAGGGGATCTGCCGGCGGGGGCGTCGGGAAGGGCGGATCCCGGGGAAAAGACGCACCGAGCGAGGAGCGGGGTCGTAAAAGGGCGGACGCTCAAACAGCTGAATCCTAGAGGACCGACTGGCCGACAGACGCGGGACAGAATCGAGCGGGGAAGCCCAAGAACAGAGCTTGGACCGGGCTCAGCCAAAGAGGGCGGAGCTGAGAAACTGACCCGAAAGGCTCAAAAGCAAAGGGGGGCGGGGCCCCCTCCTGACCGGGCCTCGGAGAAGGGGACTCCCAGCAGACTCTGGAGGTGCGGGGTTCCACAGAGAACAGAGTCTGGGAAGCAGGAGCGGGCTTCCACTATAGACTCAGCCCAGGAAAATACCGCTGTCACCAAGAGTCATACCCGATCGAGTAGTCTGGGTCGCGGAGAGGAGGATTCCCGCAGGAACAGAAAGGGAACTGCGGTCTCCGCGGCCGAGCGGTCTCCCAGTCCGCCCCCACGCAGTTCGCAACTCTCAGCGCCCCAGCCCAGGAAGCCCTGATCGAGAAGACCAGGCCTGGAAGGACCGGCGAGGCTGTGTCGAAGGGTCCTGGAGAGGCCCTGGCAGAGGGCGGTTACAGTGGTGTAGGCAGATTCAGAAAGAACAAGAAGGCGGGCCCGGGCTGGGGGAAGCCGAAGGGGTGCGCATGGACCTCTGGGCCCCACTCACTGGTCTCCACCGCGCCCACGGCCTCTGTGCAGACGTCCACCCCTGGCGCGCACTTGACGGTCTTCGTCTTCTGCGGAGAGCACCCGTCGTCGGCCTTCTGCACGCAACTGTAGCACTCCAGGGCCTGCGCTCCTGGGGGGCGGAGCAGAACTGCGACGCTCAGTACAGCCTCCTCGTCCGAGGAGACACGTCCTGGACACCGCCTCCGTCCCCGGCAGACCACCCTGTTACGCATCTTTTTGCAGAGCAGGTGTAGGGACAACCTTCCCATTAATCCCGGGGCGCAGGACACACTGCGCTTGTGTCTTTCACGGCCCCCGTTCCTACAGGGGTAGCGAGCTGCCCTCGGCCTCGCGTGCGCAAGGTAGGAAATGCCTTCCGTGGAGAGCCACGTCCCAGGAGAGGGGGTGCCTTCCCGCAGTTCTCTGCTCTGGATGGAGAACTTTTCCCTCCGCCTACTGTCCCCCTTCTGGCCGGGACAGCGGGGGCTTCCCCTTTCCGCTTAAGATGAGAACTGCTCACAGCCCTTCTGCCCATGGTGGGAGACCCTTCCGACGGCCTTCTTCCTATCCCCCGGCTTTCTCCACCGCGGCCGGACCGCGGCAGCAGACCCACCTTGGAGCAGCAGCGGACGGCGGCAGCAGCAGCAGCCAGCCTGACGTCCAGAGCCCTGCCTGCGCACCTGCTCTCCTGGCGGGGCCCATGGCTTCGTCCTGCTCCCTCGGCGTCCCCCCTGGGTGTGCCGCCTCCCAACCCCGGCCCTCTTACCTGAGCCTAGGATGAGTAACCTCCCCCCGGGCAACCCTGGCCTTGCCCAACTGGGCCGACTCAGCGTCCGCTGTGGGGCGACTCCTCCCCTAGGTGCGTCACCCACAGGGAGAGCGGGCCCCTGCCCTGTGCAGTTGGCCAGGAGGGAAAGGGCGGGAGTGAGGTTCCCTGGCAGTTCAGGAGGGAAAGTCTGCATTTGGGAGCCAGAAAGGAGAAGACCGCCTCAAAGGGAGGCAGGGGGCTCAGATTTAGTAACTGTAATACTTCGCCAGCATCTACCGCACGCTCAACCTTGTCTGGGCGATGCGGGGGAGTCAGACCTGGTGCCTGTCCTCGCAGAGCTGGGTTTGGCGGGGGAGACAGTACAGAAACCATTATTCACAGCGGACACTGTGTGAAGAGAAGAAGCTAGGGCGCTTCGAGGAGGGGTGGGGGCTGGTGCGCAGGGTCTTCCCGGAGGACATCATGGGGCTGCAGCTTCAAAGACACGGACGACCTAGCCGGGTTGAGCAGGGGGAGAGGGCAGCAGAGTGCCTTCCAAGCAGAGGGAGCAGAGAGTGTGCAAGACCAAGAGATAGGAAGGAGAGACCATCTGGACAGAGGGGAGAACAGTGCTGGAGGGGCAGACAGGTGGAATCCCAGACAGAGTGTCAGGAGGGAGCCAGACTGTTCAGGGCATAGCAGGCCCTGAAAAGAGCCGTGAGTTCATTATGAAGATGGCAGAGAATCATCGCCTAGGGTCCAAGTCAGCTGGGGAGATGGTTGAATTTGCTTTTCGATAGCCTGGGAAATAATGCAGCGATCCACAGGAAGTGGGTGGAGAACGGAGTCGCTCACTGGTCCGGTGAAAGACCCCCCAGCAGCGGGAGAGACCTACGACTGGGAAATGCCGCAACATCACAAATCTTCAGAAATTTCGTGTTGCGCTATGGAAGCTTAAATGAAAACAAAACATATTGTGTAACTGTACTTAATATGAAGTTCTAGAACAAGGGCCAGCCAGTAGCCTGGTGGTTAAGGGGGCTGGATCCCACACGGCTGACTTCACAACTCAATTCGCAGACTCAGTGGCTCAAAAAACACACCAAGCACATATGCATGCATGCCCAGAAATCTCTAGAGGAGAAGAGATTGCAGCATGGCCACTCCCATTGGGAGGTTTTCTCTCTCTCCCTCTCTCTCTCTCTCTCTCTCTCTCTCTCTCCAGTGAGCACACATGCTCCATTACAAACTAAAAGAGAGAGAGAGACCGGCAGTTGGCATAATGGCTATGTCGCTGGACTCCCATGTAGTCGGCCGCGGTTCGAGTCCCAGACCCAGTGACTTAAACTCATGCTGGGTGCGTGTGCGTGCGTGCCCAAGATCCCAAGAGAAGGATGGAGGAGAAGGGATTGCGGCGTGACCATCCCCCCTGGGAGATGATTTCTCGCTTTCTTTCTCTCTGCTTCCCTCTGACTTTCTGGCAAGTGCACATGCCCTATAGCAAAAACCTCTCAAAAAAAAAAAAAAGAAAGAAAGAAAAGAGAGAGAGAGAGAAGGAAAAAAAAAAGGAAGTGTTACCTCTGGGAGAACATTACCCCAGAAGGAGCAACAGGGAGAAGCCCCCATCTTCATTTGGTAGTTACACATGGGTACAAATATGTAGTCTCCAAGCTGAATACATATGTACTTCACCAGATATACAGTACTCGGAGGCAAGAGAGAAGGCCAGGACACTACTGAAGGGGCTGGGTGAGCCTCTGGCTAAGCAAGAAACAACCCCCGACAGCAGGGAGCTGGCCTGGCTCTGCAGCGAGGCCATGGAGTCCTACTGCACCTGAACATCTGCACCAAAGGCCTACAGTAGATGAGGCCACGCTGACTGTGAAAAAGCAAGACAGACTCGGACCCCTCCGTAGCCATGTCTGAGCCGAGAGACAAACAAGGTCATGATGCAAACCACAAAATGACTAAGCGCCCATATCCGGGCTAATAGAAGCGGTTGCTTATATTGGATCACAATATGTATATGTTATAACTTTAACCTTGCTTTGTGTCTCCTGCCTCATAAATGAGGTTTATGAAAATACTGAAGCATGGCATGATCCAATTTAGAGCAAGCCTCACTTCCAAATCACCACACAGAGCCCAAGTGTTTTTTTCTTTATTCACGATAGAGCGCATGCATTCACACATGAGAGTGAGAGAGGAAGGGAGAGCGAACATCCTGCAGATCCCCGCCCTCCAGCCCTCCAGCCCTCCAGCTTACTAGCTCAGGGATTCAAACTTCCATCACCATGTGGGATCCAGCTTCTCTTTTTTTTTGGAGAGGTTTTTGGTATAGGGCACATGCGCTCACCAGAAAGACAGAGAGACAGAAAGTTAGAAATCGCCCCGCAGTGGGGATGGCCATGCCACAATCCCTTCTCCTCCCTTCTCTCAGGATCTTGGGCATGCACGCACACGCACCCAGTGTGAGTTTAAGCCCCCAGTTCTGGGACTCGAACCACAATCAACCACATGGGCGTCCAGCGACACAGCCATTACGCCAACTCCTGAGCACTTATTGTTGTGCTATGGAGAAGCCCCAAATCTTTTTTTTTTTTTTTTTGCCATAGGGTGCATGCACTCACCAGAAAGAGACAGAGAGAGGGAAAATGAGAAGTCACCCCTCCAGGGAATGGTGATGGCGCAACCCCTTCTCCTCCAGTCTCCTCTCAGGATTCTGGGCACGCACACACACACACATGCCCAGCGTGATTTTCAAGCCACCAGGTCTGGGACTCAAACCACAGTCAGCCATATGAGAGTCTGGAGTCTGCACCACCATGCCCCCTGCTGGCCCTACTGCCCAAAATCTTAAAATCAGTCCTATCTAAGACTCTCTTATTGTGGAGCCAGCAGGTGGCGTGATGGTTAAGGGTGCTGGACTCCAACATGGCTGACCGTAGTTCGAGACTTGGACCTGGTGGCTTGCTTTCTCATTCTCTCTGTGGCCAAATTTAAATAAAGTTGAATAAAATAATTCTTTTTTTTTTTTTTAAAGACTCTTTTACTGAGACACCTCACAGTTCCCTCATTGCAAAGAGCAATACACCCAACTTGTCTGGCCACGGGTGTGTTCCTGGAGGAGAATACTGACACCGGTCATGGGCAGTGGGACTTGGCGTGGGGCGATAGCAAACGGAAAAGTAACCAGTGGAATGACCCCAAATATTTCAAGAGAAAGAACCAGTTAGGGATTACTGACAGAAAGAGAAAGCAGGAGTTTCCAAATGATTTCCAGATAGTTCTCGTCGTAAAACACAGCAGGCCAGTAATAGCAACGATCACAACAGTGACCCACTGTCACGTGTTCACTGTATGTCGAAAGCTGTTCTACGCACTGGGCAAGCACTATCTCAATTAATGACTCCTCATCTTTTAGCTGAGCATGGTGATCATTGTTGAACACCTACTGTGTTGCTTAGCACTATCTGAATCCACTGACCGTCACAACTTTGCACAGGGAGACCTGAGCCCCATTCGCACATGAGGAACTGAGGTCAGGAGAGGCTTAGAAGTGGCAGAACTGGGGGACCAGCAGTTAGCGTAATGGCTGTGTTGCTGGACTCCCATGTAGTCGACCACGGTTCGCGTCCTGGACCCGGTGGCTTAAAACTCACGCCAGGCGCACGTGTGTGCATGCCCAAGATCCCTGGAGGAGAAGGGATTGCAGCGTGGCCATACCCCCTGGGAGGTGATTTCTTGTTTTCTGTCTCTCTGTCTCTCTGTCTGCCTGGCAAGTGCACATGCCCTATAGCAAAAACCTCTCAAAAAATTAAAAAAGAAACGACAGAACTGAGGTTTAAACCATGAACTCTCTGCAAAGATCCCTATTGCTCCTCAGGGTCAGAGCCTGGTCTTAAAACTGAGATATTTAAGGACCAGCAGTTAGCATAATAGCTGTGTTGCTGAACTCCCATGTAGCCGACCGTGGTTCGAGTCCCAGACCCGGTGGCTTAAATTCACATGGGGTGCATATGTGTGTGTGCCCAGGATCCCAAGAGGAGAATGAGGAGAAGGGATTTCGGCGTGGCCATCCCCCATGGGGGGTGATTTCTCGCTTTCTGTCTGTCTCTCTCTGTCTTTCCGGTGAGTGCACGTGCCCTATAGCAAAAGCCTCTAAAACACAACAACAACAACAAACTGAGATATTTAGCAATGGTCCTTAATTTGAGAGCCAGACAGACTTGTGCTCAGATCTCAGCTCTGCCAGATTCCCTCTGTGTCCTTAGGCAAGTGGCTTTAGTTCTTTGCTGTTCAGGGACTTCTCTAAACAGAAGCCGTGACAGAGGCACATTTATCCAGCGCTTCCCATGTGCTGGGAACTGTTCCGCACAACAGCCCAGTGAGAGGTGTCTAGGGTAGGTTCACACAGGGGGAAGCAGGCAGGGCGAGGCCAACAGCTTGCCCAGATTGTGACAGCTACCGAGTGATGGAGGTGGTGTTTGAACCCAGGCAGTCTGGCTTGAGAACCTAACTTAG